CGCTTTGACTTTTGCAAAAACAAGCGCTCAGCGTCGATTCCATCTGACCCTTGACCCTTTGAAGCTGGCTTGTACAGCTGTGAGGCGCGTGAGGCAACGTGCTTTTTTCAGTGCGCAATCGAGTACGATTTTATTTGACACGCGCAGGTGGTACCGCTGGTCATACGGTAGAGCTCGCATAGCGAATGTTAAGCATTCGTTCGGTCCATTTGAGCTAAAGGTCCGCACGCCTTGAAGTATTTGGGCTTCTTCGCGGCGTGGAGGGCAAGTTCTTATGTATTGAACTCTCAAGTCTCGACAATTGAGTCTATAAAGTCGTTGTGACTCTTGGGCTTGTAGTTGGGCATGCCTGGCTTCTCTGACCCAGGTTCAGATCATTCGAATTGAGCAAGACGTCGTTGTGAGTAATCGTAATGCATCTGCCATTGGGAATAATCACGGCAGTTTGCAACTCGTGTTGAGAGGAGGCGAAGTTCAGAAAAGACCTCATCCTCACTTCACAAAAGTGTATTTTGCAGTGCGTAGTGCAGTACCCTACTTATCACAGCAATCCCGCTGTAGACTAGTTTTGAGCTTGAGCTTTGATCTGAGCATACGTACACTATTGTGGTGTAAGTACCAGTCGTCTTGCACAACCGGCAAACTTGATGGTAATCTGGCATTCATCGATCTATTTGGGCTGAGTGAACAAAATTCTTATCTTCGCAGTGCGGATCAACAAAAAACTAAGAGTCTATGACCTTTTCTCGATGCGCTAGTTAGCATGGACTCTGTGAATCAAAGATCTTCTTGAAACGAGCATGGCAACCCCGTGATTTCGGTGCTATCGAGTATCGCTTGAAAGCCCGAAGGACAATCTTGTTTACATATTACCTGGGTACGTGTGTTCTAAAAAGCCAACCGGTTGTAGCAGTTGAGCTGTCGGAACTTCACATCTGCAAGCACACAGACTAGCCAGCTAGCTGCACCAATTCTGCTCTCACGTCGAAACATAAGTTAACTTTGGCATCAAAGGAAGTTAAAATAATCAAAGTGACTTAGTTTCGCAAGATCATCGACATATCGGAGCCCATACAAAGTAATTAGCTCACGTGCTCTACAAATTTTTGTTTTCGCCTAGTAAATGTCAAATCATGCACGGTCTATCCATCCACAGCACGTCCAATCGGTGGAAACAAATCTTTAGATTTCGTACCATCTAGTTCGTCTCCTACCAGTTTGTGTTCGAGAGCTTCTATAGCCCGACACAATTCTTCAATTTCAACTTTCTGGTTCGCTAAGAGTACATCCGGATTTCCTCCTGCTACTTCTAGTGCTGCGGTCAGAGAATTCGTTTCATCAAACTTTTGTCCGTTCACTGATGTCATTAGATCGGAAGTTACCAGCATTGCCCGTTCCATTTGAAGATTTTGCTTGGCAGCAAAGAGATGACTTCGTAGATCATTTATTTCACGAACAAGAAACATATTATTTGACGTAGCACGCATATTTTCTCGCTGATGCTCTTGCGCATGAGCTGCGTACTTGCATCTGAGGGCAAGCACAGACTTTTCAAGATATTGCTTCTGCTGCGCATACTCGAGCTGAATTTCAACTTCGACATTTCCTCCTGCACCTACACTGCCAAATTCATCATTCGTGTTGACGTACTTGTTGTATAGCTGCGCGATCAAAAATGCAAACTCCTTGGGTGACTGGAGATGTCGTACGCATTCGTGAAGGTCACCTCGAAAGCGCTTCATCGATGTTTGCTGATCGCTCCAAACCTGACGGTGGCCCGCCATAACCTTTTGTAGAATATTAATTCGCTGACGTTGCTCACCAATAAGCACATCGAGCTGCGCATTGCTCTTATGAAAGAGCTCCAACTCTTGATCCATCTCTTTGATTTGATTCTTCATATCGCGAATCTCATTTTCGCGTGGCTCGATTGCCTTCTTGAGCTCCTTAATCTTGTAGTCCAAAACAAACTTAAACTTTTCGAGTTCCTGATTCTTTTTTTTGAGATCGTAAATCCGCCTTTCCTTCTCTCCGATGGTATCATCGCGCACTCGAATTTCTCGTTTGAGTGCGTAAATCTCTTTTTCAAAACTTTTCATGGCCTCAATTAATTCTTTTTCAGTTTCCAGTAGCACCTTAATTTGATCACGTTGGTCTTCAATATCCTTTTGGAGAGCTAAGAATTTTTTTTTCATAATACCATTTTCACCTTTTAGCCGTAACGTTGCTTCACGTTCAGCTTGCAATTTGTCTTCATATTTCTTTTTGAGTGCTTCAATTTCTTCATCTACGTCCGCCTCGACCTGGGCCACCGTTTCATAATACTCACGATCAAGGTCCCTCTTCTCTTCCTCAATTTGCGTGCGCAGTTGACGATCTTCATTAAGACGTTTTTCAAAATCTTCAGTCACTTCAGCTACGTAATTATCATGTGCAATCACGAGTCGATTCTGTTCGTTTTTCCAGTGTTGACATTGTGCCTCACGCTGGGTGAGCGCTTGTTGGTATTGCTCCACTTCTTTCATTATTTTTTGCTGATATACAGCCTCTGATTCCTGCATTTGTTGCAAGTAGTGCTCTTCCAGCTGCTTGATCTTCTCTTCGTATTCCATCTCGATATCATTCTTGTCCTCTCTAAGAATCTCGTACTTGCTTTTCTCTAGCTCTATTTGATGCGTAAATTTTTCTGTCAGATCCTTTAAATTTTCATTATAGGTCATATCCTTGAGTCGCAACTGATATTCATTGTGAAGCATAAGCTCATCCACCTTGGTTTTCAATTCCAGCATCAACGTATTTTTTTCTTCTAAATCTGACTTGGTCACCAAAACCTCTTCGGAGAACAAAATCATGCTACCTCCATGTCTTCCGTTGCTTTCATGATTGTGCAATGGCACACCGGCGATGCTGCCTTCAACTGCACCATTCATCGAAGCAAGATTCCCATCCATGCCGGTATGTCGTAGACGTCCTTCCTTGTCTCGAATCTCAAAAATACACACCGCACCATCCTCCCCAGTAGCAAAGAGAAATTGGTCGTCAAAAGACAACCGCAAACGTGTGACGGGAGAACTAAGGCATTGAAACTCCGTCGAGTCTCCCGTTAGTGGGACTTTGAAAGCCCGTATGGCGCCTGGACAATCAGCTTCTGCTCCAGCGCCAAAAAGAAAGCGCTGCGATCTAGACAAGGCCAATTGACCCAACGATGCTTGACACACATGCTCATTAATCAATTGAGAAGACGGAAGCTCGATCTCCTTAAGTAGCCGGTCGCTTCCTACCGCATATATTGCGGTGCCTTCACGGTTGCAGAGTGCTGAATTGTACGACACGCCTTTTTGCACAAATTCTACTTCACGCTTTGCCCCATCCACATTCCATAGATAAACTGCTCCATCAAGCCCAGTAGATACGATCGTGGAATCATCTGAATTCCAATAAAGACTACGCACCTTTCCATTGTGGCCACGAAGTGTATTAACCAACTCGCCCGTAAAAAGAGAAAAAATTTGAATTGTATTCCCATTGACCGCTGCAAAAAGATGTCCCCCTGAGCTAAAGTGACACTCGCGACAGGCTTTCACTGAAAATTCTTTAAAGGAGCGGATGTCATCCATCAGAATGTTCAGTAGGCGAAGTTTGTCCGCAAAGCCAACCAGCAAGTGAAGACCAGACGGATGACAAGCGACACTAAAAGCTTCCTCATTAAAAAGTTTGGCCACGTCACAGGTGCGGTCGATATAGTTCCAGACACGAACAGTTCGATCCAGACCACACGTCACGAGGAGTGGTTTACGTACACACACATCCATACCAGTCACGTGCAACACGCCGCTACTACAACCTCCGGCAGACCCGCCTGGCCCAATATTGGAAATCGGATCGCTTGGCTGATGAAAGCTTGTAATCAAGTACTCGACATCTTCACTAGGTGCACTTGCACTGTTAGATGCAACGACACTCGAAGCGCCACTTAGATTAGCACCAACAAGTGCAACGGCCTCATCCGCCACTAACTTGGAGGCTGAAGCACTATCATTTAATCCTGGTGTGTGACTTTGGAACGAAAATGTGAGAAGCTGGGCTTGAGAGGTGGCGACTATAATTGTTTCCTCGTTCGGGCTGACTGCAATTGATGCGATGTAGCCTGAACCAGTGTCTACCCGGACGAGACGCTGCAGACTTAGTATCCCAGCAAAATTGTTTGACATCAAGTTTGATTCGTCTTCAGTAGATATTGCGTCATACTGTTCGTCAGTATCACCCAAAAGCATTTCAAGCACCGCGACTGTGTTATTACTAAGCCCACAAAGAAGTCCTTTGGTGGTTGCAGTCAATGTGTGGACAGCTATTCCAGGTCCTGGCGATGACTTTAAACGCGTAACAAATTCTCCACCATGAAAAAGCAAAAGATCTCCCTCAGCAGACCCAGCAACCAAATGATCGTTACGCTGTTTCAACCATGCATGAGCGAGAAAATTGTAATCGTCCATTCGAGGGCTGGACAACGGGCAGAAGGAATTTTCAAGCACACGAAAGAAGCGAATAAGTGCCACTCCCGTAACGCACACCAATCCAGAATCCACATCACTGAATGAGCACGCAGAAATTTGATGTTGTGAATTATTTGAAATCGTATCCTCTGCCATCACATTTACATCAAATAGCGATGTCTTCGAGAGAGCGATGTCTTCAATTGCCGTGGACAGTGATGACTGGTCTAAGCTTAAAGATGTACGGGGTGCCATGACAAGTAAAGGGGTCTTGATATTGGCCACCAATTTGGCTTTCGACCAGTTCCAGCACGTCAGCATCCAGTCTGGAGAACCTCCCTGAGTGAGTAGAAGTTGGTTGTCAGCACTAAAGGCTACACTGACAAAGCTTTGAGCCAGAGTATCGACCGAACTCAACACCTTGCGCTTCTTGAGTGTCTTGAGGTCAAAAATACTCACTAAAGCTCGCTCACTGTGCTCCGCGACTGCAAGAAAGCGTCTGCTTGGAGACAGCGCAGTTGCTGTGACACCATCTGAATCTTCTGTGCAAGCAATGAATTTCTGACGCTTGTCGTCGAGGGAGTATACAATAATGTAGTGACCGGCAGGATAGGCAACAGTCTGATCGTCGACGAAACTTAGATTCGAGTGTACATCTGCTTTAAGCCCGAAAATGTGGCTGAATGAAAAACACGCACAGTGAGCGACGTGACTTAAAAGAAACGAAAAGATAATGGTACCGAGGAATTAGGTTGACCGTCGTCATAGCATATTAGCAAGTCGAATGGGTTTAGAGAATGTAGTTGAGGGGTTTCGTCGCACGACCGACGCTTGGGGTGTATTGGGATATCATAGGTCATTTCCGTAGCACACTTCAAAGCAAAGCTATAATCTCTTAGGACAAATACAAAATGTTGGCAAGCAAATGCTGCTAAAAGATACACATTGATGCACACACAAGCTGCTTTCTCATTGATTGGCAAGAAGGCTAAAGAGATGATGGCTAGAAAGATGATTGCGGATGTCGGGAAGGAAACACAACAACACTTTGGCACATTTTCATTGTTTATGTTCATTAAGCAAAAAAAGAAGTAGTCAGGTGCTATGGTCGCACATCTACCAAGCAGGAAATAAGAGGAAATGCTGCCTTCTCTCGTTGCCACGCCGCTACTTCCTTCGATAGTATATGCTAGTATCGGATGCATCTTACAATGTCACGCCCGGAGCGGACACTTCATGCTTCAAAAACGAAGGGTCGTTGGACATACCCGCTTTCATCGATGCGCCTAACTCAAATGATCTGTCAACGGAAGTAGCCGTCGCCTGTGGAGAATGTGATACTTCATCTTTTCTTGTCAAGGGCTGCGACTGTTCCATATCTACCTGCTGCTGCAGTGTGAAGCGCGGTTCAGAAAGATAAAGCGTCGCCTCCTGGTGGTTACGCGCATGCGTTGGTGGACCTGTCACGGAATCACTGTGCATTTTAGAAGATGCAGGTGGAACAGCAGCGGAGGCCGCCGTGACAGTCGAATCTATGCGCATCGCCTTGATGACCCCCTTCTCATCTGCTGGCATGCCAATGTTGCCGCTATCACCAGAAGCGCTTGGGTAATTGTTTGTATTGGAGCGCGGGGCCTCGAAGAATATGTCGCTTGGGCGATCAAATTCGTCCTGATCGTCGATCTTGCGAGTACGGACATAGAAAGTGATGACTAGCAAAGCAAGCACGACAACAGCGGCAACAACGGCAGGCACGAGCCAACTGGATGCTGCAGTGGAGCCGGAGTCATCCGTTTCGGCACTTATTTCATCGCTGGGGCTGTTTGATGCCTCTGATCTAGAGTCAGGCGCATCTGGCGCCTCAGGTGCTGTCTGGTCGGTCGTGTCAGGTGCTGTCGGTGCCTCCGTTGCAGGGGTCAGAGCTGCCGGAGGCGGCGTAGGCGCCGCAGTCGCAGGTGTCGGTGCGGGAGCGGGAGTGAGTGCGGGTGCCGGTGTCGGTGTCGGCGTCGGCGATGGTGCCGAGGTCGTATTGGCAGGCGCAGCCCTCGTTGAAGGACTTAGAACGGCAGTATTGGGTGTTGGTGCCGTAGTATTCGTCGAGTTGGCCTGATCGACTGTTGGTATCGATGGAGTCTGATTGTTTGTTGGTGTCGAAGGAGTCGAAGCTGGCTCCACACTATCCGTCAAGGTCGTTGGAGAGTTTGACGAGGAGCCAGTATCGCCTATAGTCACTTCCGTCGATGTCCCAGATGTCGTTGCTTCGGTGGCGGGGGATGTCCTGGTTGTGTTGCTTGTTTGTGCCATGACACGCGTCAAGGCGCATGACACCAGCAACAGCACGCAAAGCGTTTTCATACCTGTGTGTACTAGCTATCTGTCCTCAGCCAACCCTTCCCAGGTAGTTAAGGGGGCTGGTTGATACTCCTAGATGGTGGAGTGAGAGCAAGCGATGCAGGTTGTCAGTACCTTGGACAGTGAGAAAGGGCGAATTGAACGGCGGGTGTGGGAGTCTTAGAGAGTCGGTTTATTTGAGTAAAAGCCGTGAACGCCAAATTTCCAGATGGTGCTATATGTAATTTACTATACTGTAGTACAAGGAAACAGATAAATAGGCATTTTTAATCAACGAATCAAAAAATACGTTTTCAGTGCGAAACATAGGCAAATATGACGCAGCGCCATACCAAAATCAGCAGAGCAATGTTTAGAAAGGAAAGCACAAGCCCAACTGAAAACTTTGCGCAGCAAAGATTGGTGTTGAGCAACCAAGCAGTGTTAGTAGCATAAAGTTGAAGGCATCGGGTAATGCTGATCGTTTTTTACTGAATTGTTTCGTCGTTTAGGGCTTTGACTCAAATGATGTTGTCTTTTGGATAATTATGATAATGGGTCTATTTGACAAAGAAATTAATTGGCTACTTTTTTTAGCAATACATAAGTCATAGTGCTAATTTTGCAAAGAAATGCATTTTACATTAAATTCGATTTTTCGACTTATAGAATTGAAAGGGATGAATATACTAACAGTGATGCGTTGGCTGAAATCTCGAGATGTACAACTGGTAAAACGACCGCTATCAAACCATATCGAAGAATATCACAGTAGGGTATTACTCGAGTCTCGCAACAACTAAAACTGAGTAAATATGATGTCACGAGTATTCCGGAGGAATAAATTAGAAACATTAAACAATCACCGCGACGACCAAAGTAAATCGAAATCAATTAAAAGTCACTCTGGATGAAAAGCGCTACAAACAGATGAATATATATGCAGAACTCATTTAGCAATGTGCGTCAAATATATTGCTTAATGCTCAAACTGCACGCGCAGACTGCACATACCTTTCAAACTGGTTCTTGAAAGTAAGGTAAACGGAGCATGCAAGTGGCATTGTGCGTAAATTTGAGAGCAGACACATTCTTTCGAATAATCTTAAACATGTTCTTGAGGTATTCGCCAATATCAATCAGAGTCTGAGTGGATCTTAATGTGTCGAAATTCTACCATCAGCAGCACAAGCTGCAAATTCAATGCAATGTAGAGATTGAGTATTCTTTCACACTCGCTGGACGCGCTCATCGCTAGCTGCAAGCCACGTTACGCGAGGGTCACGATGTTGGTGTCGAAAAGTGCTGCAATCATTGCAGAACAAGACGTTGATGACTCATGTATATCACCAAATAAATACGCTATGAGCTTAATCTCGTATAGAAACTCGCAATCGCTGTCACGCACGAAAGAAAGCGCCCTTCCCCACCTACATTAGTAGCATGTTATGTGGACATCAATCGACCGCGCGTCAAGACGCGTGGAGGCTATCTACGCGTCTTGAGGGCGCGATGGACCGAAGCATCCCTCTGAAAAGCCATCAGCGCATATTCTTGACAGCACCGATCTAAGTTGACAACTGCAAGCACTAATGGTTCCAGGTGGAGCAAGTAACAAGCGTCAGTAGAAGGACAGCGAGGAAGTACGGCGTGCGCAAACCCACAGCGACTTCTCGGCGCTCCACGACTTCCTCGTCTCCGACAACCGCTGGTTGGCTCTCAATGAGCTCACAGCGATGGTATGCTGCACACGAGCTGGACAATTCAGAGAACGACGACATCACGCATAACTTTACTCGTCGGTTCCCATATGTACTTGAGCAAAACCGATAGCCTCCAGACCCGATTAATTAATGATGACTGAATAAAAATATCAACATTTGGACTGACAACGTCGAAAGAGTACTTATTTGGTATCAAATGGGCTGGCGCGTCGTTCATCGCCACCGACTTTTGACTCCCAATTTTACTTCCGCTCGAAATTCTTTTTTGATGAAGCCTCGAGCTTGTAGGTTGAGGTCGTTATCTAGTACCGACACGTCTACTTCAACCGGGTATGAAGCCTTCGGTTCCTTCCATTCACCATCCACCTTGTCACTTTTTGCCCAAAATAATTCCAAATCAGATCCACCTATGGTGTGGGAATCAAACATTGCATCACAATTTCTACAGTTCGAGTCAAACCTTGTGGTTAATAGTCGGAATCGCTCGCTTTTCGCGCTGGACTTGCATACGTGGACTTATCTCAATCATGGAGCATTTGGAGCCCCGACACACGTGGCAATCGAAGCTGCAAAATACTGGAGGGCTCAGGCAGATGCACAACCGCTGAATTTTCACGATCGAAAGCTGTTTCCACTCATCGTACGGGCCATAAAGTCTCTCGCAAAATTCGTTGGCGTTTCGCAGCCGGAAGAACTAGTGCTACTTCCCAATGCAACAGCAGGACTGCATTCGGTGCTCGCATCAGTACTGGCAGAAAATTACGGTGAAAAGGAAAAGACAGTAGTGCTATTCAACACGAGATACGGCGCTGTGAGAAAGATCTTACAAGCGCTAGAAGCCTCCAATGAAAATTTGCATGTTCATGAGGAACCCTTAAGTTTAAAAGAAGCTTATGATGATCAAAAGGTGCTGACACGTCTGGAGCAGGCGTTAAATGCTGTTGAAGGTTCGGGTCGTCACGTGACGCTCGTGGTCTTGGACCACATTACATCTAACACAGCTGTGAAAATGCCCATTGAAGAGATAGTTCAATGCTGTCATGTTCGCGGCAGTGGCATCCCTGTGCTCATCGACGGCGCTCATGGATTGTTAAACGTGGCGCTTGATCTTGAACAAATTGGTGCCGATTACTATGTTGGCAACTGTCACAAGTGGTTCTGTGCGCCACGAGGTGCTGCTTTCTTGCATGTTTTGAGGAACAATGGACCTCGAATACTGCCACGCGTAATCTCGCATGGATTCGGTGACGGGATGCAAAGTGAGTTTATGTGGACGGGTTTGCAAGACTACAGTGCGTGGCTTGCGCTACCCCAGTGTCTCGCGTTCTGGCAACGCCAAGGTGTTGGTGAGACTCGGATGTACATGCATTCACTAGTACAAGAAGCTGCTGAGTTACTCTACACGCGATGGAACATGCCAAATCACCTTGAACAAGAGCAAGCCGTTCCATTGCACAAACGTCACGCCATGCGCTTAATAGAATTGCCAACTTCTCGGAGTCTTTGCGGTGGTGTTGTTGTGGATCGAAAAAATCCGCAAGCCACTTCAACGGAGGCCAAAAGGATTCAAGATAGTCTTCACTATCACCATCGCATTGAAGTGCCTGTAAAATGCATAGAAAAGCGGCTGTACGTTCGTGTGTCAGCACATGTGTACAATTGTCTTGTGGATTTCGAAAAACTTGCGACTGCTTTGATGACTGGCTAAACATGATATATCTTGTATTGATGAGCTAGAACTTTTGTCAAAGGCCTCATACTGGTATCGATATGCGTATAAGCAAAATATGGGCTCAAGTTACTAGGGTTTAGGGTTTAGGGTTAGAGTCACGCCAAGTCTTATATATAGTTTATTATTGGATAAAGTAAAACGTATGCATTAAACACTATATAAATTGAATCAATTTTATATATGTTTCGCTACTTGGAAAGCATAGTGATTAAAGGTTCTGATCCCGCTTCTGGGTGTGGAGCGTACTAACTCGCCTCTGTACGTGCGAAGATTTGAGTCGTAGCTTCCTCTGTGCAAGGTGCACGGCAATCCCGTTGCCCTTGATAGCAATTGTAGTCGATCCCACAACCGAGTCGTGTGAAGCCTGTATCCTCTGTGAGGATGGGACAGGAAGTTTCTGAATACCTTCCCCCAAGACAAACTGATCAGCTTAACAAGCTTCGCCTGGAGGAGTTCTAGAGATGGCGAATCAAGGGTCAGATACGGTAATCGCTCTTTTGGGGTTTCCAGTGCTATGAAAACGCGCTGATCAGACACGCGCAAAAGATCCCAGATTAGATGGCGGTGGGAGAAACTGTGAGGCCACTGGAATTAAACGCCCAGCCTTTTGGTGACGGGGACAGAAAAAGCTCTTCTTATAGCCGTATTTTTGGTCGTGTCGAAGCGAAGCAACAGCGCGTCGCGCTTGTGGTACTCAATCCAGGAGGCCGTGCGCGCGGATGGACACTTACATGTACTATCGCTCTGGAAAAGGCGCTTCCACCATGATTATATTGAGTACATACTCCACAAATGTTCGCACCGCCCAGACAGGCGTATTGGGCGCTTTTAAAATGCCGTCAAGGGAGGTGATAACTGGCGGACTATGTCCAAGTGCTAAGAATTCCAAGTGCCGTAATTGCGGCAGACTCTTTTTCATATGTGGTAACAGTTACCATTTTCGCGGAAAAGTACCAAGACCTTTTGCGTCCGCTCTACTTCTTCCGATGAAGCTGTGGGTATCGTATTCAATGTGGAGTATAACTTCCGTACCGCGAGAGGAGGATGGGGTGTAGGAACTGAAGCTCTTTGAGCGGGCCAGTGGCGTCACGCCTTGACCATACTGAGAAGAGACGGGTATTTGGCTGCCAAGTAGTGCCGTAGTACTCGCAGATGCCCCATCATTGAAATGACAACCATCTTCACATCGCGTGCTCTCGATTTTCTCGGTCGAAGGATAACAGTGAATGAGCTTCCTCGCAATATCGTCCAAGGAAATCCTCGATAAATATGCTGAGTCCTAGAAGGCTGAAGGCGGCTTACTGAAATAAAAATAATTGGTCTCATGGAAGTCGAGTCTACTCGCCCTGAACATAAAAAGGACAGCTTAGCTTTAAGCCATGATTTGTCTATACAGATCATGCCTCATTGCGCACAGCGACGTCGTCACAGAAACATAAAATGGTTATTCTTTTGTGCCAAACATACCTTTAAGGTCAAAGCCGCCTCTTTTGCCACGATCCAGCGCCATTTGACATTCTTGTTAATTGATGGGAGCGCGTGTCAGGTTGGCATCATCTTCACTATGCGTGCAAAAAGAGTCGGCCAATTATATCCTTCAAATCAGATGCACAGACCGATCTATCTTTGCGAGATCTACCTGCTGATCTTGCTGCTCGATGCAGCTACACATACGGAATTATTTGGCAGAAAAGACAAATTTGTCTACGTTCTGAGTGGCTTGTTGGAGCGCAAGCACTCTAGCACTGCTCATAAGTCATAAATGAGGTTCTCCCACCCGACTCCTTGATCTAGGCATGACTGTGGATAATGTTTCGCTGAACCGTGTGTGGACTGACACGATGTGGCCTTAATAGTCGCGTCACAAACTATTGAACCTCGCTTTCGCGTTTGGCAGTTTGAGCAAAATAAGTAGCAAGTGTCAGTCGAAGAACTCACTGATGTGGGGGTGGGGTGTCACTGTATTTCGTGAGGAATTGATGAAACTCATCAACTAGGTCAAGAGCACTAAATATAATGCAGTCGCCGATGCACTGGCTGCATTAAATCATATATAAGCATGCACAATCCACCACTTGCAATCAGCCGTTCTGGCACGGAAAATCGGCTGCGAGCTGAAAGATTGACCCTTAAACCAAAGCCACTTCGTGCATTGCACAAAAGAAAACGTGTATGACGTTACGCCGTTCCATTGCTGTATGCCGTTGTAGTGCGATGCAGTATTGATATTCAACATCCAGGGCATTCTCATGTTTCACCCATCGATTCTGGGGCACCGTGCAAGCTGGTTTTTTTGAAACATTCCCGTCAACAAAAACCATAATAAATTGGTAAATAGCCGAACCACCCCTCGCACTCAGTGCACTGGGAGTATCTTCAGCGACAATTTCATCCATGATAGATAATGGGTTCGTTTTTTTCTTCACACCAACCATACCATTTTGTTAGCATCATCGTCTTCAAACAATTTGCACACATCTATCAATATACTTTCTAAAGCTTAATGAGAAGCTACGGTGTGGATGTGAGGGTGATATTTAATTTACAGAGCTGCCTGGCCATTTTTTCACGAGCAATCCACATCAAACTTATGGAGATAAATTGCCCCACACTGAAGTTGTGATTTCCGCAATCGAAGAAGGAAAGTAGAAGCCGCTATCCTTGAGTAACTAATTCACTTCTCTCACTCAGGTCATTCGTTTGACAGATTCATAAATTACATCCTCCTTTGGTACCAACTCTACCGTTTCGGTCATGCAATTACTTGCACGGAGCTCCAAGACATAATTTTCCTAGCCCTGTAAGAACTTCTGCTGTAGAGAAACTGCACAAATCAATGATTATTTTGGTCACTCCATTCACGCGTTAACAAATTTTCGTGCCATTACCCGTGGAGCTTCATTGCTTCGCACGGCAGACTCGTCACACGATAGTGTTGACTCAGCAGTACTTTTATATTGACAAGGATGTACCATCCTACTTTTCTTCATGTATAGTCTTTTTACTTGCAACTTACAGTAGCCAACAAATTTTCCGGCTCTAAAGCTGGGAACCGTTGCTTCCACACTACACAGTCCTGACGCAGGAGATAACAGCTCATAGCTACTCTTAAACTTCCAGTCAGAGATACTGTGGGTACCACGATATAAAATTGTTCTTTCACGTTTCAACAGCTTAAAACCGCGATATTTAAGTGCCCGTGCCTTTGACGTCTTATCGTGAGACCTCTAGAGACCTCTACTTACCGCCGCTCCTTTGTTCCGAAGTCTGATGGAGGTATTTGGTAATATTATTGCTAAAATTTTGAGAAAATTCTTCTCTTATCGTACACGAAAGCTAGTGTAGTCTCGTGCCCTGCCCAAAGCATCTTTATGCCTGGCATAGGTGAAGGCATGACTCGCCAATGTTGCATCAAGAGGGAAGTGCGTGGCACCTAGCTTTTCCGACTTCTATTTGACGTATGTCTCGTGACTTTTCATGTCTAGACTGAGATCGTATCACAAATTAGCTTCAGGAGTCCCGCGCTGGCAAAGTCATCATATTTTACGTAAAGATCATCATATCCTTCAACACTTTTACCAGTGTCACTGCTGCAAAATGCATGGATATCCTATCCTTATTCGGCTTCATCAATGACTCCTCGTACTGATTAATGTTTTCGACAGTCGCGCGTCATAGGGATTGCGCGGCGCGGCGCTTTTAGATTTTAAGTTTCACAAAGCTCGGGGCGTTGACTAAGCAGCCAACAGCCCGAGGTTTTGGGCTTCATTTTCTTGGAATGAATTGCGCTTTTATGGGACGGGTCCCATCGACCACGACCTCCATGAGTATTCCTTCATAGAAGACCGCTCTGCATCTACGAAGGATTTACAATATATTGAGAAGGGTTTCGTCGTTTACCCTTGCGTTGAAGGCCTACCCTTCGTACCTCTCAGTCAGGAGCGAACGGGGCGCGCGAAGCGTAAACTTTCCATACTTGCATAGAAAACACCTGCAGGTACCGCGGAACTGCTCAGTGTGGCTGAGAGCGGAAAGCTTACATTTTCATCGTCCCATCCTGCTCTCGCGGTACGAAAGTTGTGTTCCACATTGAACGCGACATCCACCACTTCCTCGAATATGATAGTGTGGGTGTAGAAGGTAGCTGTGCAAGCCGCACATATCTGAAAATCGTCCGTTAAGATGAATTCACCACCCCTAAGAGAGGGTTAGACGCCACTGCGGCGATCAGGGTTCTAGACTCCAAAACATATTTAGTCAGTTCTCACCTGCCTCAATAGGTATATAAGAACTTCGGGTGCACCCAGTAAGACTAGATAGGAGGTGCAAAAACATGCGACATATGTCGATTCAAAATATCCTAGTTGCGAACACCTCTTTTTGGTATTGCGCGTAAGCGCTCATTCTCGCGCGCGCCGTTCAAGCTTTGAGATCACAAGAGTGACGCGCAGTGGCTCTGTTTGAATAAATGTCAAATTTATGACACCCTCAGCTTCCTTCATCTAGTAAAGAAGTTTTCTCCGTCTTAGCACCAATAGGTATGGAATCTCAACTCCTAATGAGGACCATTTCTCGAATGACACCCGGCTGGGGCGTTTCTAAAGATATTTACCAGCGTATTCCTAAAGGTTGTGCGGGCTGCCAGGCGAGTAATTGCCGCGTCCGACGTTTTAGCTGCAAGCTCCTGATCCCAACACGACTAAGATCATTATGTGCGCATTAAGCTAAACTATCTGCCCTTAGACATTGATTTCAGTATTTTATGTTCCATCCTCACAGGAGATGGAGTCCTATCACGCTTGTAGGATTGACAACAAGTACTACAAAGTGCAACGCGATTGCCATACAACTTGGGATTACGATAGTCCAAGATAGCAAACGCAGATAGGAAGGATTCGTACCATGAGCGGAAGCAAGCGCCTCCTAAATTACCAACGCTGTTGGTTTGCTCTGCAATTTCTAAAGGACATGTTTAT